CAACAAGGTGAGGGAATCGAGGGGTACAAACTGTAGTCACAGAAGCAGGGACAGGATGTAAAGTGCAGCACAGAAAATACAGTCAATAATATTGCAATAACTATGGACGGTGCCAGGTGGGGGCTTGGGAATACTGTGGGGAGGGGGACACTTTCTAAAGTATAGGACTGTCTGACCACTGTGCTGTACACCTGAAATTACCACAAAATAATACTGAATATAAAAATGGTAAGGAAAAAAAGTTCAAAAAGTCTAAATATCTGCCCCCACCTCCTCTGGATAATGTCACTATTTATACCTAAAAATGGAGCTACTGATAAACATCCTGTGAAGGTCATACTCCAAACACGAGGACTCTGTCGCACTTTGGACACACAACTGGCAAGAGCCAAGTCCGGTGAGGACTTGGGGTATGAAACTGCAAAATCTGCTTACTTCCTCCGTGTCCTGCGACGACAGTCCCCACAGGACTTTGCCCGGCTTGTCCGACGTCGGTGCCACTGACTGGGTGAGAGCCGGTTCTCCCCCCGGAGACAGGCAGCCTGCATAGTGACTTTGTTTCACCGGTACAGAGGGAGGGCACGGCTGTCGCGTAGATGGACATGAATGAGGGCTGGGTGGGGTGCCACCTGGACATTCTGTGAGGTTGCACCCGGAACCCCTTTTGCACGGACCCCGTGGTCACAGAATGGCACCAGAGCACTGTCCCCGGCGACAGACACATGTCCAGTGCAGCACAGCCCCGGGACAGCGCCCACCGCCCACCGCTTGCATCTGTGTCCAGAAGGGGAAGGTCTCGGTGGCTCTGCTTCCAACCCATCTCAAGGACTAATTAAATCCTCATTACTGCCTTCTAATTACTCCAACACTGTGGGATTGCCCTGCAGAAGTCCCTGCTGGCATACCAGCCGAAAAGGGTTAAACAACCCGTGTTGATTCTGAGAACTCAGAACTAGTTCAGACCCTCAGAAAGCCACCAGCACTAACGTGAATATTTAACTAGATACCACTGTGAAAATTCAGAGGGAATTCAATTAAAAGGTTTTCAAAAAATTAATTCTGACCTCTACATCTGCCCAAATAAATAAGCCTTCTTGAAATGTTTTTACCTAATTGCTAATCCAATAAACTAGAAGGGCATTTGCTAGTTTCATTAAGCCGAACATTTTATAGGGGTTAAAAACGCGATCATTTTGATGGTAATAATCCTTACACTTATTTATCTACTCCAATGGCTATTCCATGTTCCCTCCAAGCCCTCTTAGAAAACAGAAAACACATTCTTAAGTCATTTCCTATTGCTCTTTCCAATTTTAAAGATGTGTATGTTAGAGGTTAAGAAATAAGGACAAAACTCATCTGAAATTGTTAGCTACAATTCTCCTGTAAAATTTATTGCAGAAAGTTAGGGTTACCTTCACTGCTCTTCTGGCGCCCAGGCTTTGCCAAGTGCTTCCCTTCTCTCTGTACCCACAACATCTGTCCGTGCCCACATTTACTCACACGGATACTGTTACGGATGGAAAATATAAAACTACAGAAACTCCGTTATTCTCCTCTATACATAATGTGGGGAAAGGGTGACTGATGTCTTCTGAGAAACTCAACCCAGAGCCACCAGATAAGGAGGACCCTGAACTGGTAGGGTGCCCCGCCAGCCCGCCGCCTCTGTGCCACCTTGAGAAGGGCCAGTTTGGTTCCGATGCTAATGGACTCTGGTCTGCCCAATTCTCCTAAACAGGGTACAGAGTTTTTAAATAGCAGTTCTTCCGGACTGGGGATACCAGGACCAAGTGGGAAGCAGCAGCAGCAGCAGAGCCAACGTTCAGCTTCTCGCGCTGGGAGGGACAGTGCGTTGTCGGCACCGCTGGGCCCCTGAGGGCTGGGGGCGGGGGCACCTGGGAAAGGGCACCTCCAAACCCAGGCGGGCTGCGTCTCTTGCTTTGTAAAGGTGTCTCGGGACAAGTGTGTTTCTAGGTTCCTTGCTAAAAAAACTGTGTAACTATCACATATTATTAAGACAATGAATATGAAAGGCACGGCTCAGTTTGGCCACTTCAGCCCTGCGCAGCACGGAAGGCACGTTCTTATGTATCCAGATCCGTGTCTTCTGAGAAAGAATACATTTTTTAATAAGATGCTAACTCACCAAGATATATTTTTTCTTCTCTGCACCTTTCATCATTTCCCTAAATGGGGGTGGCAGGGGCATATAATTCTAAAGGCATAAAGAAGTTAAATTATGCTTTAAAACATGAGATCGACACACTGGGGGGTAGCCGAACACGCGTTTTCCTAGACCTACTCTGTGCCGTGAGCACGGTCGGCACATGTGACGTCGTGGTAAAAACAAGCAAGAAAAACATGGCTACTGTTGCATCCAAGCATTGCTATGACTGTGTCACCTGCCACCAAAATATCTGATCAGATGTCATTACGAGCTAACATTTCTTCCTGGGTTTCAACAAATAACAAAGTCAGTAAAAAAACCCCACTTTCTTGCTACCTAGTATTTATTTTTTCATTGTGAAAAATATATTGATTTAAAAATACATACAGAATAATGCTATAATCCCATTTGGCATCTCCCCCCGCCCACCCCCACCCCAATTACAGTCTATATTCAATACTATTCCACATTAGTTTCTGGTGCTGGCTTGCTTCCCCATTGTTCAGGAAATTTAACTCACACAGGGCAAAGCATCGCCCAATAGTCATTCCAAAGTGGAAAAGTCTCCTGTTGGGGGGGGGGGGGGGGTTGGTTGTCCAACCAACGAAAGATACACAGGAGATGCGTACAGTGTCCCTAGCACTGTTCAGAGAAAGTGTGAGAGGCATATTCATGAAAACGAATTCGGATTTAGCAAACTGTCAAATTTGTATCTGCTACTGGAAGGAATGTCATTATAACTACCCAGACTGTTAGGTATCCATCACCAGTTACATAGTATATTATAAAGATAATCAGGGGAGAACAAAGAGCAAACACATCAACCCAGCACTTTCCACAGAGTGACATGGGAGGAAAACCCTAGACTGTGCCTTACTAATACATTCGACTTTCAAGTTTAACTATGTTTCCTCATTGGTGTTTCGTCCTTGACAATGGGGGTTCTACACTTTCACATTTCGTAAACACGTATCAGTTGGAAGGGCCGGGGGAAGACCTTGTTAGAGGATCTTGGAAGGGTTTCTCCTTGTTAGTTCTTAGAGATAAAGGTTAGCATTGTAGTACTCTCAAACAGGGTGCCCCTTATCCTTTAATGCTGGCAAAAGGAGGCACGTTCTCCCCGCGGGGATGATGGGAAAGGGCTACGGTGAGGACGGAGTGAGGTAACGAACACCTTCGTCTCAGCTCTGGGTCTGGCCCGAGCAGCCCCAGGGCAGCGCAGTTCCTTTATCCCTCGCCTCCCCCCCCCACCCCGACCCTGGGACACAGTGCTGAGTGCAGCCGAGAAAGGCACTTGGCCTTGGTGCACTTTCTGTGAACTTCTGCAGGGTCTCCCAGACGACCAGCGCCGTACGAGGAATGAACACAAAACGAGCAGTAATAGAGAGGGTGTGAGGTATGGGAATGACTTACAGGAGGTCACAGTAGACAGTTTAGAACAACGAATGCACACATTACACAATTATTGAAACATGTTGTAGTATGGTTAGAAAGCAGCAGTTCTCAAAGTATGGTCCTCAGACCAGCAGCCCCGGCAAACCCTGGAACATGTCAGAAATGCAGGCGGTCAGTGTCCCCCTTCAGACCCACTGAATCAGAAATCTGGGGGTGTGGCCTAACAATCTACTGCAACACCCTCTCCTCTTGTACACTCTGAAATTTGCAAACCATTCATTATTCCATTATTAAAACATACTGGAGTACCTTGATAAGGAAATGAAAGTATGAACCATACAATAAATTATAATAAAAAGTTAAATATGTAAAGGTATTCCAAAATTTCATTTGATTCCTACCAGTCATTTCAACACTAACACTGCATAGATGAGGCTAATCCATCTTTCTGTTGGCATTACTTTCTAGACAACGTGCTACTGATTTTGTACCATGTGAAATAAACCTTGTAACTCTCATTAGGCGCAATCGCCACCTGTATAACTCATACAGAAATAATTATAAAAATTAAGGGTCAGGAGCCTTTAAGTATTAGCTACCAAGCCACCGACTTCTGCCTTCCGAGTGGAGTGTGGGCGAGTGTGCTACGAAGAGCACTGAAGGAAGGTGGCATCTCTGGGGAGGGTGGGGCCGGCCTGGCTCACAGGCGGGGGGCGTGGTCGAGCTCAGCACCGCAGGTGCAGCAGGCCCGAAAACCCCAGCCTCCACTAGTCTGGGTTAAAATCACTGCACCACCACCACCAAGAGTAGCTTGAGTAGGGAGAGGTCACAGGGTTGCATATGTAAGAAAACTTGAATGTTTGAGGGCTTCAGGAAAGTTCTTTTTTCCGGCTCTGGCACTAAGTAGCCTCTGAGAATAAGGAAAAATCTTTAAGGACCTTACTTCCTTCATTTGTAAATTGAGGCGACTGACCTCCAGGACCTTTTAAGATGGCTCCAGTTCTAAGATCCTATCATTTTATAATGATAAGGTCCTACTATGTGCTTAAAGTTTTAATATTATCATGGAACAAATAACTGATCAACAGGCACACACACACACACACACACACACACACACACTAACACCGCACTTCACTGGGACCACCGCCCAAATCGAACTGTCACCTGCACGGGGCTAGCTCAGCATCAGACTACTGCAGTTGTGTGCGCACTGTGCCGGGTGGTGCTATGCACACATACATATTCTTTGAATCTTGAGCTGTATTTTGGTAGAATTTCACCCAGTCTGCAGGAAAACATCCTTCTTTTTTGTATTTGTTGTTAAAAGTAAGTCCTTGTTTATTTTGTTCATCTGATGAGGAAACACACTGTCCTTTAAGAATTATTTATGATCGTGGATATGAATGGGTAAGCTGATTCTCACAAGCCTCACCTCGTTCCTGTGGCATTGGGGACTGGCTCAGGGCGGGATGGGCACTCGGCTCGGCCTGGCTCCCGGGCGGCTGCGGAGGCATCTGACTGCCTGCAAAACACAGGGGGGAGTGGGGGTGAGGAACCCTTTGCATCGATGCTGTGACTGCGCAGAACCAAGGCACAGTTACACTTACTTAATCTTTACTCTCACAAACGAACGGTCCCCTGCACAAAGACAGAGCTTGAAAACGCATGCTGTCTCACCCTTTTGTGTGTGCGTGTGTAAAACAACCAGGCAACGTGCATAAACATACTTAGCAAATGACCCCCAGAAAAGTTCAGTTTCATACTGGATGAGTTCCCAAACTCACAGACAAATCAATTAGGGGCTGCAATCTCCCGACACACACTTCTTCGCTGCATTTAACAAAGCCCAAGACCGATGACTTGAACTCGCCCTCTGGAGTTTAAACTAGTCTCCAAGTGGGTGGGCAGGCATAGCGGCCCACAGTGTTAACAATATTCATTGTTAATATTTACTCAGTGCAGCAATATGACTGATGTCTAAAAATCCTTTGTAATTAATCAGAGATTTAAAATAAACTTACAAGATCTCCATTAAAAAAACAAAACACAGCACTATATAGTGCATACTATCACTCAAGAAGGAAATACTCTGCATCGCTCTTGATCTTTACTGCTAATAAAGCAACAGCATCTCTTCAGCATCCATTTGGTTTCCATTTACTTAATGTGCGCTCAGTTGGTCTTACCGAGCTATAATGGAAGCTCCTTGAGAGAGGAATCGTGCCTTTTACTCCTGTAATCCCTCATTAGCATAACAAATATTTAATAAATCTTGGTTATTTAATGGCCCTTAATCTAAGCATATGAATAAAAGAAAGAAATACTTATTACTTTATTAATTAAAGAGACAATTAGTCATTTGAAGGCAGGAGATGGGATTTTGAAATTCAGGAATCATCAGAGGTTCTCCACGATCTCAACTCGCTTTCTGACTCAGAGGCTGAGGATGCATTTCTCTGACTAAAGCCACAGAATACAAAAGGCACTTGAACTTGGCACAATCCTCAAGGCACATGCTCTCACGGCATGGAAACCATGCTATTTTATATTCTGACCTCCCCCTTTGCTAAAATAAATTGGAATGAGAGAAATTCCCATCTCCATCTCCCCAGTGTGGAGTCCGTGATGACGCCGGATCAGGCCGGCAACTGCGCTGACACCACAGCACCTCCGCCGCCACAGCTCTGGGCAGCGCTACAGAGGACCGCAGTCCAGTCGAGGGGGGCAGATTAATGCACTGAGGTCACCACCAGGTCATCCTAGTGAAGGTCACGATGCCGAGCCGGGAGTCCACACTGGCCGGCCCTTGTGAGTGTGTGCGCCCGGCGGCTGGCAGGCCAGGCGGAGGAGCCCAGACCAGGAAGAGCACCGTCCCTGAGACTGTCGGTCATGACTGGTTCTAGTAACAGCTGTATCTTCGGCAGCTGGAGAGGCGGGGAAATGTTTTTCCACTTAGATAACAGCTAGAAATAGCTGTTAAAATATAACCACAAAACATTCTCGAACTCCTTTTGGAAGTTTAGGGTTCTCAATTTGAGAAAAGGGTGTAAAACTTATGAGTGCATTTCTGAGTGCTCCTGGGTTTGGCTGCCACGCTTGTCCTGCCGGGACAGCCACCGAGGCCACCAGGAGCAAGTCCCGCTGAGAATGAGCCACCTGTGCAGGATGGAAGAACTAGACCAACAGGAGTTAGCCATCCACCCACCCGTAGGCCTCTTCGCCGGAAATCAGCATTCGTACCAGCACAACACTGAACACTGCCCATCAGCTGGTTACAGACACACAGAAGCTGCTGTGTGCTGGCCCCAGGCCACGGGCTTCCTGAGAAACACCCCAAGGCCCCGATCCACAGCCTGTTCAGAAGTTTAAAGCTCTCTGCAGCCGAATCCTGACTTAAAAACGTCACCAGGGAAGCAGCTGCTCTAGGACAGTAAGTGCTGACATTGTAACGACTGTTTCTGCCTGACAGGCCAGATGCAGAGCCTCCTAACAGTGAAAACAGTGACTCCGCGTTCAGAGAGGACCCACTCCTTCCAGAACGTGCGCCCAGGGCCCTGCTCCTCCGTGTAGCATCTCAGCCAAAAATGAAAAGGCTGTCAGAGAACCGTCTCACGAATCGTAAAACCTGCCCCATCCAAGCAGAGCTTGCTGGTTGTTGGTGCAATTCTAAGACAAATATCTCATTAAAGCCATGAGAAAATTCATTTTTTAAATCCATGTTCTAAAGAAACACTCAAGTACCTTTCGTGGTAGTCAGACTTGCCCAAATTGTTTCAAATCCTACAATTGCTTTTGCCCCTATCTTTCCATCAAGTTTCACAGTTCCTAGGAAACAGCTCCACTCTCCAAAGGTGCAGGCAGCAGCCAGTCCAAGGTCCGGGTGGAGGACGAGTCAGAACAGCTGCTTCAGCAACACGATGCCGAGTGTTCATCTGTGCCCAACGTCCACGTGAGGAAGACAATTCAGAGCCCTTTGCACCAACCAAATTAGATAAACACCTCCAAACCCATGGATCTGTGTGTGACATCTGTCTGGATAAGTAAAATCTTTTAAACATAATTAGGTAATTATTTTAAAAGAGAACACTGCCATGCACAGTGAACAAACCAACTTTCCGAACAGGCTTTAACCACCGACACTGTTTCCAAGAGAAGCCCATGTTTCCCCCTCGTCAGTGTCTGTAAACGATGCTAATGAAGTACAACGGGGGAAAAGTTCCAACCCACGCTGCGAGCTGGAGGACACGTCACCACTTTATACCTACGCATCTCCAATGACCATTTACCGTATTCTGCTGTGTACACTGTGTACCTTTTTCGCCCAAATTTTTGAGGGAAAAATAAGGATGCACATTATACATGGGTGGTACTGTGTATCTATATAAATGTTATGCTTATATGTTAAAAGTGTAACTATAGAAAGCAATAACATCTGTATGCAAAATAATAATTCCCTGGACTACAATAACCCGTTTTATATGTAAATGAAAAATTGAATTAAACAACTAAAACAAAAGATTTTTCTCCTGAAAGTCCGGGACAAAGCTGTGGGTGTGCATCGCACACGGCAAAACGCAGCACTTTGTACTTCTGACTACACAGGTTCACACTATGAGTTTTTCAATAAAAACCAGTTTTTCCATTCTCCAATGGCCCTGTACATACAACAGTGTGCAAGATTTTGCACAACCTAAAAATGAAACACCCATAAGTCACCCAAATTTGTACTTTTGGCTGATTTTCACATTTTACTTTGATTTGCAACACAAGTCTATACTATGAGCTTTTATTAAAAAAAAAAAAAACCTGTATGTATTTCTTTATTTTTACAATCCTCACCTGAGGAAATGCTTAGTGGCTTTACAGAGAGGAAGGGAGAGAGAAAGGAACACACACACACACACACACACACACACACACACAAACACTCAAGTGAGAAAGATCGATCAGTTCAGGACCAAACCCCAGCCTAGGCATGTGCTCTGACCAGGGATTGAACAGGCAACCTCTTGATGTATGGGATGAGCCCCAACCAGCTGAGCCACCTGGCCAGGGTATGAAGCCCTTTTATTTTAATTAGTTGTAGACTCAGAGAAAAGGTAGAAAGCTAGGACCCCTAGCCCACCTCCCCTCACTGTGTGTAACCACAAAATAGTCACTGCAAGGCACTAAAGCCTGGTGCAATGTTGTTAACTAAAGAGCTCATCTGAGTTCCACCAATTTTCCACTTCACATCTTCTTTCCATTCCAGGGTCTCACACGGCACCCAGCCGTGGTTTCTCCTTAGTCACCAAAGACCCCGTCTTTCCTGTTATTTTAGTGACCTCCCAGGCTGCCCCTCGGTTTGCTTCAGTCTGCTGCACTCGTGGCTTGAACGAGCGTATGCAGCTGGGGTGTGCACCACACCATGCCCTCCTCAGCCTCAGCTCATTCTGTCTAGGGGGTCCCGACACTTTCATGATGTGTCACTTCTGCCGACGTTCCCATGGATTAGTTGGCAAAGTTGGTGCCTGCCAAGCTCCTCCAATATAAAGCTACTGTTCTGCCCTCTGTAGTAGGCAAGTACCACAGGCGAGATACCTGAGACTATGTGAATCCCACCGCTCCTCAAACCTGCACCCACTAATTTTTGCATCCACTGAGCATGCTCTTGGCAACAATTATAGACACCTTAGCAGTGTCTTCTAAGGGTGATTCTTCACTTCCCTCTTTGCTTCCACATTTACTAGCAGGAGTCTACCTCCTCCTCCTTTGTTCATGTGTTTATTAGGCTATTTTTACCCCTACGAGCGCATGTGGCGGGCACACCATGGAATGACTGCCGGTGAGCCACATCCTTGTGTGATCCCCACTTGTGACTGAGAGCAGAGCCTGTGACTCGGCTTCCCACCAAAGAAATAACAAAAATGATGAAGCATCACTCCGAAACTTGTTACATGGCAAAGCGAAAGGGGTTTTGCAGGTGTCGAGTCCCAAACGGACTGGCGTTGAAACGCTCCAAAGGGGGAGGACCCTGGACAGGCCTGCCTTTGCAGGGGTTGAGGCTCCAGCTGCCAGGCGCTCCTGCTGGCCTTGGAGAGGGAAGCTGCCAGGATGTGAACTGAGCCACACAGCAGGACGGGCAGCGCCCCCAGCCTGCCGGCCTTGGGTCTACAACCACAGGAAATGAGCCCTCCCACAATCTGAAAGACCAGAAGTGGATTCCTCCCGGCTGAACCTCCAGATGGGAACAGGGGCCACCCAACACCCTGCAGCCTCTTGAGACCCCGGGCAGAGGATGTAGCTGAGCGGTGCCCAGACTACTCCTGGCCATGGAAACTATGGGATAACAAATGAGTACTGTTTTAAGCTGCCAAGTTTGTAGTAATGTCCACAAGAGTAGAAAAACTAATAGACTCAAGGATATTTATTTTATTCTATGGATTCAAATCCAACACTGACATTATTTTGTTGTTCAAATTGTCCCAGCTTTGGCCATTAGAAGCTCCTTTCAATCCTTGTTTTCTGCAACCACAAGATGCT